TTTTCTAACAAACAACTCCTACCAGCCTGCTTTGAAGTTGTTGGTCATAGTTGTCCTTGAGATTACCAAAACATTACTGACTATTGCTGTGGATCATGGCTGCCTCACAGAGGTAGAAGAACTCCTAATTTGAAGAAGCCATGTAATTAAGTCACAGCCAGTGAATTTGAGATGGATCAAAATTTAAAGCTTCATTCCTTGGAGACTTTCATGGTACCAGAAGGCAATATGGAATCGTTCAAGGGAGGAATCCAACCAATAGTTTCACCCTACTATGAGACCTATAAACCACAACGATGATTGGCACTGCACCATAACCAAATGGTGCTAGATGGCACATACACCTTGGTGGTAACCAACATCTTCTAACTGGATTAAGACCTTCTCAACAAGCAGGAAATCATGCCTGGTACTGGAAGCCCATCCAGTTTCTGATGGTTAGTGAAGGATGGATATTTCAGAAGTACATAAATCCACTATGCATCATTCACATGAATAGTCATATTAAATTGATTTGCCTCCCAATATCAATTATTCTGTAGAAAGTCCTCTCATTGCCACTTGGTGGTGTTGTATGCTTTTAATCTCAGCACTCAGTAAGCAGAGGCAGGTGGATCTCTGTGATTTCAAGGCTAGCCTGGGCTACAGAGTGAGTTCCAGGAAAGGCACAAAGCTACACAGCGAAACCTGTCTCATAAAACAAAAACCAAAAACAAAAAAAAGAGAAAATTTTCTCATAGCTATAACAGGATAATCTTGGGATCTTTCTCAGTGGAAGTCTGCAGAATTATTTGTAGTGAAACAGAATGAGGTGAAATTGAATTCATGTCCCCCTGGATGCTTAGATCATATTTCCTTCTCTCCATCTTTCAGGGTCTTTGTTTGGCTCCAGAGTTGAGCAGGTCTGGGTGATCAGTGAATCTTGTATATGGGAAAGAGATTGATTAGAAAGCACCTAGATTTCTAAAAGAGTATTGTGTTTGTTAGATGAAGAGCAGAATCTACAAAT